CAGCTGCTTCCAGTCTGCTGCTTCCAGCTGCCTGACTTGTCGACTCCATACTTCATAATGCCACAATTGTCGGCTGCTGCAGGGTCATTGCCAAAATTTCGAATCAACTTTGGTGGCCGTCGGCAAGAAAAAGTGCAGGAGATAATAAGATGCATGCTTCAAGGCAGGCTTTTTAATACAAAGTCAAGATGCCCTTTAGTCAAATGGTTTTAATGTCTCCAAGCCATATCGCTTTTTAAAGCCCCCATACCCATTAGTTCAAAGAGTACAGCCATAAAAGTCACCCAAAACTCTGGCAGCAGACGGTCGATCCACTGACTTCGATCCACTGGTGGTCCACTTTGCATATGCCCCGATCCCCAACAAAGCTGCCCGGTGTATCCAGTTACTTGTTTGACACCTGGCCTCACCTGCCTGAATTGGGATCCCTTTCCCCCACAACTGCCGAAAAAGATCAGAGGCCACAGGAGAGCACTTCTGATCCTGATCCTGAAGCGGGCCACGCGTGCGCCAGATCGAATTTCCAAACAAAGAGTCGGGTGGAGAGTAGCTTTTGGGGCCAAGGACCTCCTGCCAGGATATGGAAGAACAGCAGCTTGGTCATCACTCTGGGTGGTCCCTTCGGATGCTGCAAAGCCAGAAGGTTTCAAACTCATAATTTAACCTTTAAATGCTACTTTTAGTAAACCCCTCGATTTTCACAAGTTCATAAAATGTAGAAATCATATTTCTTCCGACTTTCTCCTACGCTTCTTCCGTGGCTGGTTGTAAATCATAGCCGCAGGACGAAGGACACTTCAATTAGGCCAGAGCGCCGCCTCAGCAGCAGCTCCTGCCGGAGAGACGAAGACAGAGGCCTTTGTCCCGCCGGCTCTGTTTTCACCGCGTTCCAATCGCAATTAGCAATTAGCACAACATTAGCGCGGCTGACCTTTGACCTCGCTGCCACTCCCGTCGCGCCCGTGTCCCTTTTATTCCGCCATTGTCCTTGTGCGCGAGTGTCTCCTGTGAATAGCCTCCCCTGCCCATCCTCGCCGTCCTCCGAGGAGTGTCCTCTGTGTTTTGTCACGCATTCATTCGCCAAATGGCCGGCAATAATTTGCGGTTGTCCCATTGTGTCCTTCGTGTCCTTCGCCGTTCTCGCAGGCGCCGCCGCATATTTACATAATTGCCCATGTCTCAGCCACTCGCGCTACCCACCAGGACTCTATCGTTTCTGGTTGTACTTGGTTATAGAGGAGGCACCTTGATTTGTGTGTTTGTGAAGTCTTTTAAACTCTCGTAAATATTTCTTCCGAAAACGTGGCATGAAAAACGACAGACTTGCACTGGAACAAATTGGTCCCTGGGTTTACTTTTTAAACGTATCTTTAATCAACTATAAGAATCAACTATCTAAGCTTTTCAACTATAAATAAACTTATTAAGCGCTTTAAAGGTCTTTAATCCCACTGTAGCTATGTATAGTTGTTAGAATGAGTTCAAAGAAGGAGTTACTCCTCCTGGAAGATCACTAGGAGTCTAAAATATCTGTGGTCTAGGCCTATCTTGTTTAGACTTCCAGATCATAGGCCAGTTCACCATCACTACTACTGAGGCTACTGTCAGGTTGAATGGAAGAACTAAGGAGCTCACCAAGACTGTAGAGCGCATATGAAAAAGTACTGTGTCTCTCGAGACTCTTTGTGATAAAAAATATAATGAACATTATTCAGATTTAAACCCTAATCATTTCTGGTTCTGCCTAGTTATACAGTTACAATAGAAACTGCAGAGTGGGTCACAATTAGCTGAAGCAACGGCTTCAATCATCAAAATCCGCTCGGGCCTGGTTCTGCTGATTGCCAGCTTCCGCCCCAGACGCGATGTGTCATCCCCTCGTGATGGAAAACTGCGTGGAAGCAGGAGGCTCCTCCGCTGATCGCGACAATTGTCCGTTTTCCCCTTGATTGCCATCAATTGCGCAAAACAGCCGGGATGGGCTTTCGGACAATAAAAGTGATTACATGGCCACTAGTGCCGGGCTGTGATAAGCACAACGATTATGACTACTGCATCCATGTAGTCGGGTCCGAAAATGTGTGTCACAGTGATGGATTGCTCTCCAGAGGCACTTACTTGTTGGACAAGTGGCGCCAAAATGCGTGTGACCTCACTGTCGCAGGCGATGACTCAATTGGGGGAAACTTTTGGATGAAAAGGAAAGTGTGGTTTACTAAGAGATCTGGTGATTCAGTTGAAGCTCAAAGAATCGAAAGTTAATCAGGAAGGAAGTGATGGCCTAGATCACAGATGCTAAACTTTTGATTGAAATTCCCGAAATGAAAAACAAATGGGCCGGCTTGGAAACGTCGCCCGGAATTGATTGCCTCGATCGGGCTGGGAAAAGGCTCCTTTTCAATCAATCGAATCATTTCCCCTCCTCTGGTCTCCTTCTCACTTTTGCATTTCCGATTTGGCGCTTTCATCGACCATCTCCTCCTCCTTCCCCAGTTTTTGCCAATTGCCAGCCAACCAGTCAACCCGTTCAGCCCAACAGGAACAAAGTAATCAATCATTTTGCCAAACCATCAGAAACATGACAATCTGCCAGAAAATTTGCGTAACGCTTCACGATTCACCGTTGGGGGGATGGATACCCGAGGGGCTCGGACGAGGGGGTCCATATACGTACACATGGCCAGCACGCCGAACAATCCATTGATGATATATCACTGCAATTCCGAATATTCATTTCGCAGTTGTTGTTTTTTCGACGCCTGCTCCTCATTTCGAATGCGTTCCGCATCCGCGACGAGGATGTGGGCGGCCCAAATGGGGCAGGGCCGTGGGGCGTGGCCGGGGGAGTCGGATAGTGGACAGTGGAAACGACGCTCTGCGGACGTGCCAGGCGCTTGAATAGATGGCCGGAGTAGCAGGCCGAGTGGAGTGGAATGGATGGATGATGCCGGTGTCATTGTTTCCTCACCCAACCATCTCCTCCTTCTCACACGTTGTCTCAATTATGAGAGAGTGCCAGGGATGCACTTGGAACATATTTTTGAACTTAAAAGTTTCAATATCATATTTTATAAACTAGTGACCTTCAAAGGTGGCAATAGGGTCCCAGAGAAACACTCTAACACCAGAGGGGAAGGCCTTTAAAGTTCTAAGGTAATATTTTATACAGAAATACTGGACTTCCAAAGAAGCAAACAGTTCTTCAGATTGCCAGAAAGTTTCATTCATTCAAAAATCGAAAAATATATTGCAAAAATCCGAGTATTTCTCCCTGTGATATGGGAGGACTGGGAGGGGATTGCAATTTTCCAATTGACAACCATTTAAATGTTACGCACTGATGTTAACTTCCACGACGTGACTTGTCGACATTCCCGGGGGAAAGGAAAACACAAAAAGGGAAAAGGAACCTTTAAACAGAAAACAAAAAGCCTGAAAATGGATTCGGCGGGAAAGGGCGACAGGAGGCGATGTAAATTGCCTGGATCCGATGAGTTATGAAAGTGAAATGGATTTGTGATTGCCAGACGAACGATCCAGCTCGACGAACGAAGCCAGCGCATTAGAACCCTTTTGGGAAGACAAAGCAGACCAAGCCGATCCGACTCAGAGACCCCAAACATATATAAATTTTAATTATTCCCGCGAATCGCACAGGCAGACTGAAGCGGGAGAGATAGAGCCAGAAACGAATGCATTCCGAGATCCCACTGCCGATCCTGGCCAGGCTAAAGCTCCAAGTTCGAGTCAAAGCCGGCGAATGGAATTGAAATTCCATTGTGAATATTCTTTTGGGGGCGTTGCCGGCGCGTCGAGAAAAAATGCAATAAATATGCATATGAGAATGAGAATGAGCGCTTTGGAGGTTCTGGAGGCTCTCCGAAAGTCCGGAGTCCGGACTCCCCAAAGGACCGATTTGAATAATTCGGTTCCCACACTTTTCGGTTATGGCCGAGTTCTGGCTGGCAACCGTTTTTAATTAAAGTTATTAATACGGCCTGCTTGGACTAGAGGTGATTAAACCAACCACAAGGTCTCGGCGGCCTCTCTCTTAAACTGTGTCCCTCGCCTCCTGACTTCTGACTTTTGACTCCTTGACTCACCGACGGCGCAGGCGGCATTTGCGGTAGGAACAGAGACTACTTATCGGAGCCCGAGGTGTCCTTAAGCCTCTCGGAATCGATCGGCAATTAAATGCCGCACACATTGCCGGCAACTGCTTAATTATCCACTCGATCCCATTCGATTCGATCCGAAAAGGAGCCACAATCTACTCTTAACTAGCTGGTGTCTCAGTCCTCAGCCTTCAGGTCCAGCTCGGAGCTCGGATTAAGGTAAGGAGCTAACGAATTAACATGTAATTATCTCAGCTTGGGCTGCTCGGAAAAGGAAACGCATCGAATCGCCGGCGACACCCGGACTGAAAACAAGGTTGACCTCCGGCGATGAGGGCTCGGCCGTTTTATAGCCATTCGGGCTAAGTATCACTAACCTTATCTTATATGTTGTTGTTCCACAGTCATCACTGTTGGCCAGAAAAAAGACCCTGGCCTAGGCCGAAAATTTAATCCAGAATCCAGAGACTGCGACTGAGGCCGAGAGGTAGCAGCTGCCGCAGGTTGCGTGCGTGCCGCTCCGCCCCTTCGCTGGCCTCTGAGGCGTGGTCCTTCTTAGGCCGATTCCCAAATCGATCTTGGACCCTTCGACCGACCACCCGCACTAATAAGGGAACCAGTCCAACGGGGAAAGGGCGAGGGAAGTGGCGCTAAAGTTGTCAGTCGGCTTGTCCGCAGGCGACGATCCTCGACACCCTAATTAGGTGTTATCTACGACCAGGCCTGCCCCTTTCGGATGCCGACAAAGTGCGGTGTGGCAGATCACCTCTCAGATGTGCCCCTGAGACCTCCAAAGACTTTCCCCGCCAAGCAGCTTGGCGCCAGTGAAAAGTACACAGGAGTCGGAATCAGTTCAATAAATTGGATTTCTTCGAACAAACTGTGCGAGCAATCGCAGAGCCCTCAGACTTTTAATACAAGTTGGAAGTTCAGCTTTGGAACAAGGCATCTAGCACAAGTTACTTGCTTCCGAGCCACACAACCCTCCAGACACTCAGTAGAAATATGCCGTCGGACAAAGTTTGTCCCATTCCGATGGATAAGATCTTGAGCTTCCGCCGGAACCCCGCGCCCGAGCAGCAGCTGAATCAGCAAACCGACCAGATGGAGGCCATCCCCAACTTCTTGCCGGCCCAGTTGACCAGCAATGACCTCCAAGGAGCTCCAGGGCGTGCCAAAGATGGCTCTAAGGAGGTAATACCGACCAGGGGTCGCAGGCTAACGGCCGGTGAGTCACTTCAGTCCGACATGGACGGCTTGCCGCCGCCACGACGATCGCCCGTGTCTCGAAGGAATGTCGATGACGAGCCGTCCACCACGAGTCAGTACATGAACGTCATAAAGGCCGCCCTGGCCGTGGTCACCGTCTGCGTGATGCTCACCACGATTCCGCTGTATCGTCGCCAGCAGGCCAAGAAGGACGCCAACCAGAAGAGGATCCTCTTGTGGAACGACGACTCGCTGGTTCGCGGTGCGGCAACCCACATGGAATGCGGCTGCATCGTCACCAATCGCAGGGAGCCATCCGACAAGCAAATCGACGCAGTGGTCTTCAACGCGGACTACCCATACTCCATGGAGGGGTTCCCACAACTCAATCACACTTCCGACTATCTGGTGGTGTTCTCGGCTCTGAAGCCCCTCAACAAGGTCGAAAATCCACTGCGCAACGGCCTGAATCCGCCCTTTAATCTCACAATGACATATCGCCGGGACTCGCACCTGGTCTGGTCGGACTACTACTTCTCGCACAGCCACATGGCCAAGCGGCTGCGAGGATTCCGTCCCCGCAAAAACTTCTCCGTGGATGACTTCTCACTGGAGACGGCACGGCGCTTGGAGGCGGTGCTGAACGCGAAGAAGGAGCTGGCAGTGTACCTGATGTACGAGGTGAACGACGACTCCCTGCCGGAGAGCCTCTACTTGGAGCAGATGCGCAAGTACGCCGAACTCGAGGCCCAGAGCATCTGTGTGGGCAGCAATGAGTAAGTAGAGTCTTCGATCTTTCAGAAACCTTTCCAAGCCCAAAATCTCCTCACAGCTGCAGTGGATACTTCTTCTGGCTAGTTTTCGAAACTAGTGCCTGCCCAGACTACGTGCCAACCCAAATGTACATGGCCATGGAGAAGCTGATAGTCCCCGTCGTGATCGGAAGTGGCAACCTCACCAACCTGGTGCCGGAAGGCTCCTACATCCGTGGCAGTGACTTTGACTCGCCCAAGGAGCTGGTCGACTACCTAAAGGACCTCTCGACCAAGCCGCACGAGTACATAGCCTACTTCTGGTGGCACTCGCTCTACAAGGTCCGAGCCATCGCCCAGCCCTACTGCGCTCTCTGCCACTTCCTCCAGACGCCCCCGAAGGAGCGTCAGCTGAAGAAGGAGGGCACGGATCTTGGGTTCATCCATTGGTGGACCGAGTACCAGTGTCCAGTCAAGTACACCACTTTCCTTTAGGAATTCTCCGATCACCATCCTGTTTCTCCCACCAACCTGTCTCAATTATAATTACCAAATTGCCCTCGTTGGGTGCGATTTCGTTAAGTTGACTTGCAGTTGGTTCTTCTTTCAATTTGGGTTCTTTCTTCTTTTTTGTTGAGGCTTCTTACTGGCTTTTAATTCCGCGGAATTTCGGCGGCACTCCATTGACCTCGCCGACAGGCTCCGACTTAGGAGGCTAAGTAATTCCCTATACCCCAAATTTTGGGGATATTCCGGAAGTATTAGAGGTAACTCCAGGAAAATAATTTAAACTCAGAATCATCAAAGGTTTACGGTATATTAACTCCTACTCCTTTGAAAATTAATTTTATATTTTATTCAGAGTGTTTGATATTCGTATAGAACCCTTAGAGTATTTGGCATAATTTGCTTTCAAAATTTTGGGTTATTTTTGCAACTGGTTCGGTTGGCGTTCGAGAGATGGGAGGATTCTTGGGATACCAACTCGTGCCAGGCGGCTTGTTGAAATGGCTATGAGCCCGGAGGAGGAGCTGGAGGAGACTGCGGCGAACTGGCAGCTATTGTCGCTGAAGTGAAGCCTTGGGAAGCCCTGGGAAGCCTGGGAAACCCAGTGGAAAAGCCGAGACAGCCGTCAAAGGCAACGGGCAGAGATAAAGTAAATAGAGCAAACTAGTTCCCCATTGTGGACCATTCCAGATGGATATGGATGTGACTGTAGACTCTACAGCGTAGAGTGTGGAGTGGGCACTGCGTTGGGCAGTACCCTCCATGGGACTCTGACAACTAGAATGAGAACGAGTGGGCGACGAGCAGGCGGTCCGTCCAGGTGAAGCCTGAACTCCACTCTGTGGGGCGAGGTGCCAACCAGCTCACACAATGCACGAAAAACAAACAGAATTGTCATGGGAAATATTTCACAGCGTTGCTAGTGAAGTGCCCGAGATGTGCTCCCCATTTAGCTCCCCCCGACCATGTCCATCTCCCGTCTGCCATCTCCCAGCCCGGGAATGTCTTTCAAAACGGTATCACATACACAAAACACTTTTCTTCTCGCCACACACAACCATATTTATAAGTTAAATGCTTCACTAAACAATAAGCCAGAGCAGACAACTGGCCGAGAGTTGCTGCGGGGTCTACACTGGGAATAAGTCTTCAAGATACAGACTCTACTTGATAAGAGGATATAACTCTACTGTCGATGGAGATAATATGAAGTCTATCTATATTAACTATCTAGATTTTTAGTAAAACTATCTTCAGACTTGTAGGTATTTCTGTGACCCCTCTTAGAAGTATAAAGACTCTTTATAAAGAAGATATAGCTCTTTATTATAGAGTCTAGATATAACACATTATTAAGGGTAGATAATGAAAAGTTGAAACATAACACAATTTCTTCCTGTGCATTAATTTTGAAATGGGACTGAGACATGGTAAAATTGAAGTTGAAGGCGAGGCGATAATGAAACCAAAGTCAAGCACATCGAGCCAGGTCCAGCCTTTGGGCCCTTCGGTTGACAGGTTGTCCCTTGTTTCCCCAACACCCCCTGCCATCCTCGATCCCGATTTGGTTCTGGGAAGTTCTCATCATCTCACTCCTCCCCTGGACTATTCCGTGTTTGCCCATTCTGTTATCAACTATTACAATATTTTTGTTTAATTGACAAACAGGTTTATCATTAACATTTTTCTCACTGCCCTGGACTTTTCGGATGCGTTGGCGGCGGCCTTCTCCAAGTTTTTCAAGAGTTGGGGGAAACTGGGAGTGGGGGAATGCGGCGCTTCAGTTGATGCTCCAACTGTTTTCCCACAGTGATTTCAGATTTCTGGACACCGTGAAGCAGAGGAGCTAACTAAGTTACAAAGGCATCATTGGATGAACGTACTAAACGATCAATAAACAAGAAGGCAATGAAAACTTTTGGGGGGAAACTAGGTCCAAGACTCCTTAGGTTCGAGCTCAGTAACACTTGCCATTAATATATATTTTTGAGATCCATATTCCCTTCTTTTTGGCCATCAAATTCTAACAACATAATCAGTAAGAGGTGTCGCTTAAATAAATAGATATGGATGTTGTATTTACCGGATAGACGACTTCACGGTTGCCTTCCCGCCCCATCATTCCCACTTTGATATCTAAATACTTTAAGGGCCTCCTCGGCAGCCTCGTAAACCGCTAAGTGCTACCAAAGTTTTGGGATTAAAGAGCTTCTGACCGTTTCCGCGGCAGCTGACGAGGCTGGCCCTATCCGGCCCCTGTTTGCATTTGGCGGAGCCGTGAAAATGCACTCTCGAGTCCCTCGGGCTCCCTTTCCCAATTCCGTGTGCCCGTTTTCTCACCTGAGGCGAAGGCTGGAAAGCAGTCTTGCCAAGTCGCCGGCTGCTGTCGATGCTCGTTTTAATTTGTTTGTTTACATTTCGACAGCCCCACCTGCAGCAGAAGCAGGAGGAGCCCCAGACGCAGCAGCCTCTGCAGAGGCTGGTGGAGAAGTTTAGGTTTGTTCCCATCTAGCCTCTGGTCGAAATGTTTGGAAATAGTCGCCCATGGGGAGATGGAAAATTAGGAGGTGGGGGGGCAAGGGCAGTGCTGCACCACTGGGAGCACCGGAGTACGGGAGTACCGCGTGTGTTTTGGTGTTAACAACTCGACACTTCATTAATTGAAGTTGAAAAAGTGCAGCTATAAAAAGACTATTAAGTTCTAGCCCACAACAACAGAATAGATTGGAGCAGAATATGCACTCGAAGAAACAAACCTATAGAACGTTTGTAAATAGAGATAACGATGAATAGATAGATATACGTTTTCTCGCAGTGCCACAATCAAAGTCAAGAAAACTTTGAAGAGGCTTCGATCGAATGCAGTGGAGGGAAAATATTATGTATATAAGGGAGAACTTCCAGAGGCTCGGTTTGCATCGGCCGCAAATTTGATGGCTATTGAAAAGTTCAATGGTTCTTCCCGGTCTCTCCTCGAAACTTCCAAGTTCCATCCAACACCGAAAAGTGGCCATCAAAGCGCTTGTTTACTCCTCCCGAAAATAGACGAAAAAGACATCTCGAATCTGGGGTAATAGAGAAACCTAATGTGAGCATATCATAATTAGGAATTTAGCAAGACAACAGCATCGGAGTGTTTTCGAGTATTTCCAAACATTTAATGGAGATCTCCCAATGGAAGAACTGTTGGGCAAGAGCCGATCTTCCCCGACCAGAGACCAAGTGAGGCTCCCCCTCAATAAAAGATTCGATCGTCTCACATAAATAGTTCACGAGCCATCCGAAGGCAGTGGCCATAAAAATAAATCCATATGCAAATGTGACTTCAGTTTAACATGCCACAGAGACAGACAGTCGGATAGACAGGCGGGGGACTGGAGAGTTCGAGGCCCAAGCCTAGCCAAAAATAGTGAACTTCATCTCGAGGATATGCGACTATGAGATGTCTCTGGAAATTGTAAGAAAAGGTGCCTAGTACTAGGAGGGTTAGCAACATTACCATATCAGTATTTCAAGCTCAAAATATCCCTCCACCAAGTTCTGTGGCAGTTCGATGATGCCCCAGACATACCCTTTCGAAATAGTCCCATTCCAACCAGCCAAGGACTCCGCATTGCAGGCCAATCCCTGGCGCAGAGGCGTCTGCAATTTTAGTGCCTGTCCCAGCGACTTTGAATCTTACAAAATGTGACAAGTTGCGGAATTATTTTTCGCAGAAGATGTTCTCTGGCTACGTTTCGGTTCAGTTCGGTTCCACTCTGTACTGTTCTGTTCTGCGTGCAGATGAGCCGAGATTGATAAGCGACGAGGAGGAGCGTGAACAGTCCCGAATCCCCGGATCCAGACCTCCTCCAAGCTGGGTTTCTTCTGTTCTGAGCTCGGGAGATGCAAGTGCTTAGATAAAGGCAGCGATTTATGTGGAAGCTCCTGGGAGGAGCAGTCACCAGCGATGACAACAGTAGCTCCGTCCCGGCCAGGTTGGAGGTGCCGGCAATTTAGGGGCGATTACAACCGACAATGGCATTTTAAGTGGCCATTGTCGAGGTGCGATCTGTGGGCGCGTGATAAGCGCCGGCTCCCGTGTGGGCGAACCCCGTTCCCCAGGTGCGAGGATGCTCATACAGAGGTGTGGGTGAGGGTGTCGATGAACTATACCTTAAACTACAGCCCTACAAAGAGAACCTGGTAGGAATTATTAAACACTACCTTTCAGAACAACTTTTATCCGGATCGAAGTACCAACGAGTTCGCTTTCATTGCCTTTCCTATCAACTAGTTTCCAAAAATTCTCTGTACCTTTTGGATAGACATACACATTTCAGCTTAAAAGCATTAAATTCCCTTTTGTGATTTCCCTTCTACGATATCCTTTCAAGTTCAAGAGCGTTGTATGGAGAAAGTAATGAAGGCGCAAGAGGCTTCGGGCGTGGCGCCCGCGTCTGCACTGCGATGCTGTTGCAACTGCAGGAGGAAGCTGGATCCCTATCAGCTGTTCGATGACAACGTGGAGGACATCGCCAAGAGCCTGGCCCAGATAATGCTCATCTGCGGCATCAACACGAGCAAGTCCTGCATGGCCAAGTCGATCATTAAGCGGGCCTTCGTCTACCACGACAAGCTGCGCACCACGTGTCCGCCGCAGCCGGCTCCTGGCACCCACTTGAACCGGGAGGACGTGCTGCAGGCCCTGCGACTAAAGTGCTCCATGGAACCAGTGGAGGCGATGTTGGCCTACTCGATTATCAAGCGGGCTTTCAAGGCTTTCTACCACGGAAAGCCGCCGGTCAGCATCAGCAACCCCATTGTGGATGCCATGGCGGTGCACACCCAGTACTCCGCCTGGATGCACGCAGCCTACAAGACGGCCAGGATCTTCGACAACTACAAGGCGGCCTTCTTCTGGGCCCACAAGCACTACGAGCGCCAGATAAACCTCGTCTACTGCGCCCTGTACAAGCGGATGACGGCCCGGTCGGATCCCCTGATGGTGCCCGGGTGTCCTTGCAAGGGCTGCTCCAAGCAGGAGGTGCCCGGCCACCCCAAGGCTGGCCAGCGCAAAATGGAGAAGATCAAGCTGTCGGAGGGTGCAGATCTCCCGGAACCCTGCATCCTTTGCGGCTTGCAAGTTCCCAAGATGGACAAGGACAAGATGGTCAGGACCCGACTGCCCCGGCCCATCCTCAACCACGAGGTGAACCTGCCCCGGTGCCAGGAGTGCAACTCGCCCTTCCTCATCTGCGAGTGCAACATCGACCAGCTGACTGGCGAGCAGTTCGGCGAGTGCGGTCAGGACTCGTACAAGGTCAAGTGGTACCGCCTGGAGGAGCCCCATCTCATCGGCTCGGTGGGCACCACAAGAGCTCGAGACGACAACTCGGAGGACCCGGAGGACAGCACCTACGGGGAGGCGATGGAGCCTCCCGAGGACTGGGACAACCACCACTGCCCCATTGACTGCAAACACGACTCCTGCAGCGAGGCCTCGAATGTGTGCCAGTCCTCAGACTCCTCCGACGAGGCGTCCACCTTCGCCAGCTGCTCCGAGGGCGAGGGGGACGAGGACATCGTGGCCAAGCTGGAAGACTACCTCAACAAGCTCTGGAACGAGGAGGTGGCCCAGAAGAAGAACCCCAACTATGTGCCCAGGACTATCGAGCCGCCGACTCCGCGGTGCAACAAGTGCAGGGACTGAGTCTCTCTATTTGTGGGTTTGGCTCTGGCAGTAAAATTGTTTAAAATATATATTATGATGAAAACATTAACCCAAATAAGGTTTCAGATCTTTGATCTCAATAATCCTAATCATAAGAACTTAACTCCGAATTGAAATCAATCTGCTTGCCATAAATTGCTCAATTTGTGGGCAAACTTGACACAATTTGGTTGGAAACTTTCCATATCTTGGCCCTTATAGGAGGGGACTTCGAATCCCCCACCAAGATAAGAACTAATGCGATGACCAGGTTTTCCATAATAGAACAATAAACGGTTTGTCCCAATATTTTCCCCTCTAGGGCCTTTTAATTTGGTTATTTAATCCGCCAAGGCCTATCTAGGATTACAGAGACCCCACACACAAGAATGCGTTCGGACGGGAATGGATGGAGCTCCGGAGTCGGGTCTTGGCTCTGATCGAGGCTGCAATTATGCTAAATAGATTGGTGCCGACTGACCATCGAAATAAATAAGCGACTCGAACACGACAAGCGCACAAAATGGGCCGGCTTGTCAGACCTAAATTGTTCAAATAAATTAAGTTGTAGCTTTCGAATGGGTCGGGTCGGGGATCGGGGCTGGGGATCGGAGATCGAAATCCAAGAGCAAAAGAGCCAAGATCGGTGACACTTCCCAGTGGTGTGGGGATTGGGGCATGTAAATACGGGAAACGTTCAGAGGCTGCCGCCTTGCCGCCTGGCCGCCTGTTGCATTGTCATTTGATAAATTATGATATTTGATCAATTGTTCCGCTGCGGTGGCTGCCTCGCGAAGATGAAGACGTTTCTCTCTCACTCTGCGGATGCCACGAGTTCCCGATCTCCTCCAACTACCCGCATCGAGTTTGCTGAGTGAACTTTTGTCGAGTTTACATTGTAATGGCATCTGGCGGGGCAAACAAAACACAAACAACACCCAACAAGTCAGTCAGTCAGTCGGCCCCATATCCATTCATCTGCATAATAGAATTCCCCGAGGGGCGGGGTCCGGGAGGGGAAGTGACGGAGAAGGGGTGAGGCTGCCTCTTTATTGTGGCTAATAGGCCTCTCGGCGGCTTTGTTGTTGTGCCGCCTTCTTGGCCGTCTCAGCCTTGGTCACCGAGCCATCCCAGAATAGATGGAACATCATCGTCACCAATGGCATTTCTATGTGGATTAATGAATGGCACGAAGACGAGGATGATGGTCCAACCACACTGAGAATATATTTAGTTCCTAAAACTAAAAAAAGTCTATTATCAAATTCCAGCCAGTTTTTAGGCAAAATAACCTTTATATAATTCTACATCGAAGATAGAAATTGTAATATTCTTATACTCTTTTTTCAGTGCCTTTAAGAAAAACTATGTTTACTCAAACACTCACTCGTTGTTGGGGAAATCCAACAGGCCCCTAATTATGTAAAAGGTGTTCTGGGCCTGCTCCATTGTCGTCCACCTCACCCACAAGGCTACACAAGGGTTAATTAGTGTTGGGGACAGGATGGGCGGCGCTACAAACGGACCTCCAAAGCCATTCAATCGATACTGGCTTCTGAAAAAGCTACTGCATAGAGTTGATTGGAAAAGCAAATGAGCCGAGACAGCTTATTGATTTCCCCAGGAAGGAGCTCTCTTTTCCCCTCTCGGAGCAGAGGACAGCTGCTGGCGGACCTTCCCCTCGGAAAACTCCTAATGTCTGACCATTTGCATTTTTATTACCCATCGCATCGAAATCGAAATGCCCCGGAAAATGTATAAACAATATGAGACATCGGAATGATGATGAAGGAGGCGGAGGACCCTCCTCCCATCACGAGACAGAATGCGCCGAGTCACCATAAAATGCCAAAACACAATAAAAATAAATTTAACACAACATTTGCTCTGGGCATCCGCAAACGCAACACAGCCTCGTCCTGGCGCATCCTGGCACGTCGCCTCTGGACCCAAAACAATCGAGGAGGGCCGCCAAAATATTTTCAATAATAAATCTATTTGATGTCCTCGGAGGCCGTGAACTGGGGGTTTTACGATCGCAGCGATGACAGCAGGCGCAGTCATTAAAAATCTCACCGAGAGTTATGTCGCTGCGCATGATTAATTGTGGAGGAGATATCCGCATCGGAATGGATCGAATGGAGTGTGGCTTCCCGGTTTGACTGGCAAGTATGCAGAGTTTAATGGTGTATCTATCTGGTAATTAATTTCCCTTCACTTTTCCTTTCTCGAGAGCGAAACGGAAGCCCATCTGTGGTCACCACTTGACCCCATCTTGACCATCTGCGGTCAACGTCGGACGCGTCGGGATGTCAACTAATTTGTCCAGTTTGTGGTCCGTGTCAGGTGTTGTAAATATTGCATTTAATTGAACTGTCCTCGAGTGTCAAGTGCTTACAAGAGACCTTCCATATATAAGTAGAGCAGCTGCATGGGAAGATTCTAGGCTCAACGATACGGGCTAGCATATATATATTATTCCTATATTCTTTTCAAAGATTTCCTGTTTGATTTAACTTTCTAATTGAGGGCCATGGTGGGTAATTATTAAAGAGGAAGTTGAATAACTAGTACACATAGTCTGCCATTCTGATATCAATTAAGAGAAGATCTTGGTCAGATTTTCATATAGTACTATAGTCAACACTCTTAAGATATAAATCATATTCCTGCCTTTATCTTTAGTTTTCTAAACCCCCGGAGACTCTAGATATCCAGACATCTGCTCCTTTTCCAGAAATCTTTTCCCCTTTCTTCCTCCAGAAAATAAATCAACACTGAACTCAAGAACACGCTTGTAATTGCTTAATTAGATTGCCACTAAAATTATAATTTGAGAAAAGGAGGCAGGCTCGAGAGCCTGATCCGAATCCGAATGGAAAAGGACCTCCGCGGCCGGGGCAGCTGGCGCGTAAATCAGATTCGCTGACAGAGCCTGACTAATTCTACCCCGGGCACTTGAGGAGCAGAACCCGGCCTTGGAGGGCTTCGAAGTCCTTTCAAGTGGCAGCCGCGCGTGCGTGGAGGACGCGTGCTAATGGGGCCAAAAGGTGCAGGCCGGATCGGAGATCAGGACTCGGGGATTAGAGCTGCAATCAGGGCCTGGGCCTGAACCCGCACCCGTTAATTTATGCGTGTCCTGAGCGAGTTCAGCTGCACCTTGGCTGTGTCAAAGGACATATGCTAAGGACGGCGACATGCCGACACATGACTCTGTTGACACACAAATAGCGGGAGTAGTGCACGAGGACGGGGAAGGACTCGACTCCTTGAGGCAACATCTAAATGGTATTTATTGGTTTGCCAAGCCGGCGACGGCTGTCGAGCGCATCCTGTGCAGCCAGGACGATGCAGCGCGGCAAGGATTGAATTACGCGATGGCGACACATTTGTAAACAGGCCGCCTGATTTACACGCACTCACCCTCCGACCCCTGTCGAGGTTACTACCGTGGCAGAAGTCGACGCCGGGAGCGGCGCTCCTTATTTGCCAAGACATTAGGCAGCCGAAGAAGCAGCACCGGTAGAAACAATAACAAAAACAGGGCCAGGGGACAGAGGACAGAGGACTCAGAGAAGGAGCAAGGACAACACCGCGTGTTTGCTGTCAGTCGGAGGATCACCTCAAACTCAGACTCAAGATCCTCTGATTGACATTCGACAAATTTCTTTTGGCATTTATCAATGGAACCGCGAGGAGTGGAAGGGATCGACAGGCAGGACCTCCTGTCGCGATGATGAATCGAGGAATTTGTGTTTTTACACGCAACTTGACGGGGCCAACACGGATTTGGTAAAAGTTAAATATTGCTGTTGATGTTTTTTCGACTTTGGGCGATTAGGAATAGATTTATCAAAGATCCAGGGGATGGGGAAGGATCCCAAAGGAGAGTTATTAATGACTCTGGAAGTGAGGTCTATGAGGAATATGCAGTACAGCCCATAAACCTTGCTTGTTTATAGCCACTAGCTTTTAGGCTCCCTTTCAGGACCTAATAGCCCCTAAAGCGCCCAAGGTGGTCACACTCCGCTAAAATTTAAATTCCGTTTGCCGAAAAAAACGGCGAACAGGCCATAAATTCATGTTAATAACAGTTGCAGCACAGACCCCCGCACTCTCGAAGCCCAGCGGCAACTGGCCCATAAATATCGGCCAAATGGGTTGACAGTTGGCAAGAGGAGTTAACAAAACCCGAAACAACCATGCAGAGTGCATAATGAAGAAACCGCAACCGAGGGAGATCCGATCTCGGCCGTCGGCCGTCAGGACATCTGTGATCAGGTTCCGTTGGAGGAGCGAGGAGCGAGCGTGAAATGCAATTGCCATGGCCTAGCGGTTCACGGAGCCCGTTACGCGAAATGGATGTGTTGCCAGGTTGTGGCCTCAGTTCGTTGCTACCTGTCTGAGGTGCACTGAGAAAAGATTCAGCAAGTCCTATTAATATGGCAGCTCCTTAAGGTCTCCTTTATCTTCTATATTGTTTCCAGTGCCTGTATCCTTTGTGGAGATGTTCCAATTAAGATCAGTTAGTCCAGATGTTGTGCTCCCCACCGCCAAATTATTCCGAGCCGTGTGCTTGATGGGCCAGGAATGTTTTGCCCAGCATCTCGCGCATCTGTGCCTCCTGGACGGAATCCGCAAAAACCTGGCTCTGCCCGATAGGAAGTTTGTAGGTTTCCTTCAGTATCCAGTAATCGGATACTGCCCCCACTCCTACGCCTCGCCACTTGGCATGTGCCGGGGAAATGGACAAATGACCGGGGCACTTGAAAACCAAAACCAGAAGTGACCCAATATCCACTTGAATTTCATTTCGGTTCCGAAATTTTAGCGCGCACCTTGAGCACTCCAAGGAATCGATTCCATTTGAACTCAATGAGTTCCTTTTTTGGGGTGTCAAAGGCCGTGTTGGCTCGTGCAGCCTTTGACAGCCCGTCAGGGCCTTCGGTCCCGGCCAGGGGAGCCGGGAACCCACCAAGTTGCAGTCAATTCGTCAGGAGAAGCATTGAAATTGAAAATTGTCGAGGCAGTCTGAGATATGAATGGGCCGAGGAAATTCGAAACCGAGGGCAGCTGGCAGTCAGACTGAATGCATCCTGCGCACAGAAGGACACCGGGCGCTATTACGCAACCTTCGCTTGGTGAATTGCGCCAAAAAAATAAAAATATCTCATGTTTTACAGAGGTTAGTAAAATCAACTCAATCCCTCAAAGAATGACCATGCCCACCACCAAGATTAGTAAATAAAACACAAAGTAAAACAGGTCCTACCTTGAAGGCATCTCTGGTAGGGAACTACTTTTATTTAAAAGAAACATTAGTATTTATCCTTCGCTTTTTAGATCTCCATGGCATCCGATTCTGTGAAATCAGATTAAATACAAACCTAGCTCCCAACTCAATTCAATTAAGTACTTACTGCGAGCTCTGACTTTTTGGTTCAAGGCTGAGCGATATTCTTCCAAGGGCTGCCACATCTCCCTGCGGCAGGACGGCAGCGAAGGCTCTTCGATTCCGTCCAGAAATTCTCGGATATTCTGCTTGTCCTGGACCAGGATCTGCGGCACAAACTCCTGGATAACTCTGAGGAAGATCAGATTCTTCGGGGCAGACGTCGGGTCACTGGGAACCGATTCGAGAACAAACATAATCCCTGCACGATGGAGGGTCAGGACTCCGCGACGGTTCTCCACTAGACTGGGATTGAAGGTCTCGGCCAGTCTCCGGGCCAAGCTGAGCAGATGGGTGAACTCGTCCGAATCGACCACTCGCTCCGGGTCATCTTTGTAGTTGGCCATTATCCTCCTGTAGTATAGCAGCAAACTGTGGAGCACAGTCATCCCATAGTTGACGCAATTGATGTCCACGGCCCGCTCCATGGCAGCTCGCATTATGTCCCCGAAAGGTTCGAAAAACTGGATTGGCATTGGGAATCAGATAGTTAAGCGAACTAGCTAAGCATCCCACTCACCTTGTCGTAGTGCTGGAACACTACGGATGCCCGCATGCTGGGCACCACGTTGAAGGCCACCAGCTTGCAGTAGCCGCTCAGGACCCGTCGCTTCTTCTGCAGTTCATCGAAGTTACACTCCTTCACTATTTCCGAGGGATTGTCGCGGAAGATGTAGGCCATCATAAAGGTTTCCACCAGCCTTATGTCCTCAATCGTGGGCTTGTAGGTGAGGCCGTTAACGCTCGGGCTTGGACTCAGAACCAGTTGTTCCCCAAAGAGAACAAAGAGGTCGCAGAGATAGTTATAGCTCTGTTGGATAGTATAGATAACAATAACAACAAGTAACAACTAAAATATAAAGAATACTCACCTCATATGCCAAGAAAACATTTCGCATGTCCCTAATCAAATCCCTGGTCACGAAGAGAAAATCCTCAAAGTGCTTCTTGAGGGCCGCGCACAGCTCCACCAAGTACAGTTCGTCATCCTCGTGCTTCCGAGCCCTCTTCAAGTCCCAGCTGAGGCTGAAGTAGCACACCTCCATGTAGAGAGACCGGCCCTCGAGGGGAAGGGCGTCTCTCTGCGATCCGTCGCTCTCCCGGACCACCCGTTTCAGGCTGGCTAATACGGACTCTGTCAGGTGATAGCCACTCAGGTCAAACTGCCCGTAGAGAGCGGAAACAAGGCGCAAGGTTTCCAGCAGGCGGCTCTGGCGTACCTTCTGGGATTTAACGGAGGAAGAGGTAGATGAGGAGGACCCTGAAGAGCCGTAGAGGGCGCCGTAGGACTCTTGCCAAGTGCGGAAGGCAATCTTGTAGTTGGTCACCGCGTTGCTGAGTATTTCGCTGATTATCGAGGCCTCCACCAGGCTCAGATGCACCAATGTTCGAGCTCCCATCCGGAGCACCGGGTTACCGGTCGTCGTAAACAATATTTCCTTTATCTGCTCCAACAGTTGCACTACTTGGTATTTACTCCAGCTCCGAAGATCCAGCATCTGTGGCAGCTCAAGGAGATTCTTCACATTCTCGGAGTCGGTACTGTACTTTTCAATGAGCTTGGACAACACGGGCGCCAGGATTTCAGTGGCCAGCCCAACGGAGCCGGCAGTGGGTCTCCTTACCAAGTTTTTGGTGTACCTTCCCGGAGGAATCTCCCCCGTAATGGCCTGTTTGACGCCACGGTACAGAATCTCTATCAGAGTAGAGCTCTCCTTCTTGGATAGTTGTGGGCGCTGCTCTTCGAGAAGCATTTGGACCATCAGCCTCCAGTCCACTATGAGGTCGCAGGTTCCAAATAGGGCATCTACCAAATAGGCCGTGTGCTCGTACTGTCCGTTTTCGTTGAAAAATTCCAAAAGAGATCGCAGATTTTCAGAATCTGTTGCCCCTTTGCGTCGTTGGTTGGAAAACGAAGCTGCCGCCTGGGCCAGGCCTCGATTGGCGGCAAACATCAGCTGCTCCAGCAACCGGCACTCCTCCTCCTCCAGAAACCCCGACGAAGAGCCACAGAAGTCGGTCAGGATGTTGAGGGCCAACTCACACAGTTCGTTCTCCGGCTGAACGCAAATATTCATCAGAAGCCGCTTGAGCTTCTTGCCCTGTTCCAGACAAACGGGACGGAGGATCTCGTTGCGGCTCAGCTTCAAGATGTTCTGCAGGCAGCTCTCCCGCACCTTGCTCGAGGTGTCCTGGAGGCCCTCGAATAGGTATCGAGCGTGATCTGGCCGCAAGAAGCTGTCCGGATACTTTTCCAGCCACAAGCCCAACTCGGATAGGCAGAGCAGGCGGATGTCGTCCACCACGTCGATGCAACGGTTCACGAATATGACCTGGAACATGGATAGCCACAGATTTTGCAGCAGGCCGCTGTTTAAAGTGGAGAGCTCCTGAAGGGTGGTCATCATCTTAAGACCTGCAAAGGTGTGGAGAGCTTAGATCATGCCATGAGTTATGGGAGCTATCTAATACTAACCTATCATAGTTCCAGTATGTCGGAAGGGGCGCACTTTAGACTCCGAACAGGTCATCACAAAGCCCGTGATTTCTTTGAGGAAGATGTTATCGAAGAATATAGGGGTACCATCGGCTGCCTTCAGAAGACTCTGCCCAAAGCCCCCTACATATTTGACAAAGGATGCCGCAGTCTTCCTAATCATGGGATAGTACAAGCTGACCTGAAAACACAACTCCAATTGCATATTTTTGTAAAGAAATAAAATTCCACAAACTTACATTGCGAAACTGAACCGTGGCAGCTATGACCAGGTCTCTGTAGGCGAAGGGCATGTGCGTATCCTTGGGAATTGTGTAGTGGCTCCCGCTGGCCTCCACCACGAACTGGAAGAAGGAAACCAGAGCAGCAGTGGAGTCTAGCATGTACTCGTTCACCCACAAACAGGCCAAGTTCTAAGATGGTAGGATTCTAATAAGTGAGTTGTTCTAGAAGACAGTTTGCTTTTGCTCACCTCGTGTTTTTGGTTCTTGTCCAGAACCAGTTGGAGGAGGGTTCTACCCATTTCAGACTGTTCCGCTCTCATGGCTCCCATGGGCTGATCATCCTGGAAGTCCTCGTGGCTTTGCGATCTGACAAACACGAAAAAAGAGCACTTAGTATTTGGATTTGATTTCTTTAGATTTCCACAGCAACCTGTTCTCCTCCATTTCCACCGCAACTTCTGAATCACTTGATGAATCACTCATTTTCCGAATCACCTACTTTTCTGGAAAAGCTCAAGAAAAACCCGCAGAAGAGGGCGGAAGTCCAATTTGCACATGTGCTCTTGTACAGAGTTGCCAAACTGCAACAGAAAGTGACAGATTGTCATTGCAGGGATGCTTTTCATGGTATTATACCAGAGGATTATGACAGGTGCATGTGCAAACCCCAAGTTTTCCAGACCGAACTAGACTAAAAGGTCATATTGTTTCAAAAAGCGAAATTCCAAATCCCAAGTAGGCTGTGGAATTATTTCGGGAACTTCCTCTCTCGGCTTTTCAGATCTGAATTCAGTTTTTTATCAACCAGACTAGTGTAAAGACGTAGTGAAACTTTTAAGTACAAATTATTTTAGTTTTTTTTTTGAATTTTTCGATAAGGAGGTTTAAATTTTGGTCTGAAAAATGTCAAGTGAGGATTCGATTGGGACATTTGAACGAGATGCCGAAGAGGCAATCCGCAGCTATAAGGACATAAGGCGTCTTCTCATGGAGTCGATGCGTGTCCTGGGCGGTGGTCCGGTGACGAAGAATGGGCTTCTGAGGATGCTGAGCATGACCACCGGTCAGCATCCGACGGCCTTGGCCCAGAACGTTGATGACATCATCGAGGAACTCGTATCAAGGGGGAAGTGGCTCAAGAGAGGCAATAACTACTCGATGAAGAAACGCAGAGGTAAGTTGTCGCCGCTCAGGTGTCTGGGGACGAACTCTCTAATTACCCTATTAGCTTAAGAAACCCTCAAGGAAGCCAGCCCTCCTAAGAATATTCCTCCTAAGAAGTCATACGATTATTATTCGTGATCGGGCGGAGTCAGAAGAAAGACGAATCACCCTACGGCTTTAAGGTAGTTGCAACTAAAGAGTTACTGGATTTTTAATAAGAGTTTAATATTTTTTCAGCAAAAGGTTTCATACTTTTCATATTTAGGAGATGGGAGTCATGTGCCGATGGAACTATCGGCTGAGGTGGATGGCATTCAGACTAAGGATAAATTCTCAGTTCTAGGCATCTTTTGGCGAGAACGTGTAAAATCTGTTGTGTATGTTTAAAATAAATTTTGGCCAGAAAGTATCAGTTGTTAGATTTGTGACCTGGTTGCCGTTTTCCCACGTCCCCACCGCCACCACAGCCTCACCCAAAACTGAAAACTAAAGCAAATAAGAGCCTTTTTCCAGATCGAGTCAGGTAGCCGTGGTTTTGAGGGCACAAAACAATTAGCCAGGCCCACAAAATGATACACAAACAGAGCGCAAATTGGGCAGCCACTTGTCTGACCTCAAAGCGAAAGCGCCGCCGACCGAACGGACTAACAAGGACCTCATAATCATGCCCATTCCCACTCCCATCCCGATCTGATCGCCGGAACGGCCTGAAATAAACACAAATATTGACGTTGCCTATCGCACGCGATCTCTCCCTCCCCGAAAATAATATTCCCAAAGATCAGAGGCTGCGCCCGACCTCTGACCACTTCCCAATGACTTGGCAAGTTTGCAACTCGGAATTATTTCAATCTGCGCTGATGACGCAGCTCCTTTCGATAAAAAGCTGGCGATAACATATCCGATACCCTTCCTCAGGAATTGGGCACACGATTCTGAGAGTCCTTCATCAAAGTAGGCCTATTTTAAATATCAAGTCGACAAGTAAATAAAGGAATACTTTATCGGTGTCTTTAAAACATAAACGTAATTATAAATAAAAGTATTAACCTATAGGGCATTTTATAGCCGTTTCAATTTGGAATAAAGTTTCATTTCATTCTGGGCATTCCTGGAATTTATCCCTCCGCACCTCACCATCGATCCCTCGCAAATATTGACGTTTTCGGGATTGAAAATTGGCGCACTCCAAGGCGGCCCTAAGCAGCTGCCATTGATTGAAAGATCAATCGAGATTGAGGAGATTGCGAGTCCGAACTCAGCTGCCATAGGGTAATTGGAGTCCACCTACGGTCAGCCCGGCTACCATTCCCGGCTGGCTTTGTGCCAAAATCTCATTTCATATTCAAAACGGCGATGCCTTTGTCCATTGTGTTCGATTGCCCGAAATCTGACCTTCACCTTGGAATCCGGATCGAGGCTCATTGTTGCCATTTTGGCAGGCGGCGGGGAATTAGCCGCTGTCCATTTTCCATTCAGTGGCAGCTGCTGTTGTGGCGCTCGTGCTTCAATATTTGCTCCTGCTCCACCTTTCCTGCCACCTTGATCCCTTGGTTATGTTGCCATTGAAATACCCAGACATACACACCTGCCCTTTCCTCCATCCTAGCTTGATATATTTTATTTCTTCTTATTTTGACTTTTTTAAGGCTTTTTCTGAAACTTTCCAGCCAGATATTAAAAGCCTAAATAGCTCTTCAAGCGCTACCTGAAACCTATGTTTACCAAACCTCCCATTTCCCTCTTAAGCCCATCATTAAATTCAAACAAAAATCATCTCCCGTGTCCAGATAATCCACATGTCCTCGTAATTGGGTCAATTGTGGCGAGTGCGGTGTGTGGTATTCACGGCCAGAACAATGACAGTTAACCAATTCCAGGAGAAGAAAGGGGAAGTGGAGTGGGAGGTGGTGGCCACAGTGCATCGCATAATTAATCAAAGAGCGGCACGCGGCTGTGGGCGCCACAAAGGCAGCCGACACAACGCCAAACCCAGAACTCCAAGTCGAAAACCGAAACCAAAAACCAAAGCTGACTGCGACCAGACTGGAGAATCCCGCCCAGAACAAGGGGGGGAAGTATTGCATACAAATGAAAGCCGCCCTCTTCCGCATTTAATACTCATAGAGCAGCCAGCGGATGTGGATATGGATGTGGATGTGGATGTGGACACCCGCACAGTTGACGTGCCAGGCGGATCATGTGGGTGCACACTTCCAGTCGTTGTCTGGCCTTTCAGGCCCAGAGCTCAAAGTCTATCGCGCAGGAAGCGCCACAGAAAACCAGTCTGCGATTTATTCATAAATTGGCAAAGTTTCTCGATTGGGGGGGAATAGTTAATGCCATTTCTATACAAGTCCCAACAACTAAATGGATAAGCCTTGACTAAATTTCACCACAAGCCTCTTGAGGAGATGAGTCACGCCTCGGAGTTATACCATCGGTAATTACCAACTCTTCCTCCGCATGGAGTACCCCTGCCTGGTCTTCCTGGTCTCCCATGCCCACATCCTGCGTCTGCAACCGCCTCTTCAGCTGCAACAACTAACTGCTAATTGACACACCTCGACAGCGACTCCGCCGACATCACGTGCCCCGTTGCCGGCTCTGCGGATGAGTCATCCTCCGATGCGATCCGGGCAGCCTCTAAGCCCAGCCGAAGAGCACGTTGCCAAAACCCGCTTCGCCAGGGCCATTTATGAATGGAGCCGGGTCCAAAGACTGCACAAAGGCCTCCTCCACCCGGAGGCTCCAGGCCCCAGACTCTCGGCTCCATTCAATGTCTTCTATGCGACGTCAAAAGCTGTTTGTTGTCTGGCTTCTGGTTCCGAGTCCCGGCCCTCCTAGCCCCTTCCTGCCTGTGTTTTCCTCTGTCTGGCTGCGGGTTTTTGCCTTAATAGTAAATCGTGTTTTGCATGCGCGAGTAGGCCGAGGTGGCCCCTGGGTATCTCCTCGCCTGCCACACTGCTCTATTGTAGTGTAGGAGTTGTGGAAATCGAAACTTCATTCATTCGACTCATTCATGAATGAGTTGATTCAGTCGTTTGGCGAGTTTCGAAGCTAACGTCTGGGATTACAAAGATTACGATACGATAGAGGCGATAGAGGTTAAGAAACTCAAAAGCTCGGGCATTTCGACACGTCCATGGGTTTCTGGTTAAATGTTCAGAACGTTAATTGGGATATTAGAGGCGAAAATTATGAACCTCAAAAATGTGTAAAGGGCTTCTTAGAAGGGGAAAGTAAGAATGGCCAAGAATTTCGAATATTTTCATGAAGTTCATAAGTTATCTGCATTCTTAGAAGTCGGAGAAAGTAATCTAGTAGAACAGCTACTAATCGGTTTGAATCTAATGGGCAAAGTAGAGCAGAAAGCTCTCCTCCTCATTCCCTAATAAATTCTCATGAATCTTCTCTTCTTGATCTCCTCCATCCGGAGACAAAACTTGCAATAAAATATAATTCCCGAAAACGAATCAAGCAAGGGACCACCTGCTCTGCCCCCTAAATCTTTCCGACCCCACAAGACGGCGAAAATGTCCACACTTTCCCACTCGGCAGCTGCTGATTCTATGGAACTTGTTGTGGTCGCCCTCGAGAAGTGCATCCCATGTCCAGTTTCACGTCCAAAATCCATGGTTATGACCAGGCCGAAGCGCCAGAGAGCAGCTGCCTGGTTAATGATGGTTTATGACTCGGCCGGCGGTGACCATTTCTCAGGCTCATAACTCCGCAGTCCCTAGCCCTATCCCAGTTACAGTCCCAGTCCCAATCCCGATCCCTGACCAAGATTGATTGCCCCGTGTGGCAAGTGAAATTAAAAAAGTGTTAAGCCACAGTCCAAAGGTGGTCCCTAATAAATCCCAGCCTAACCGGCCGCTAACTCCAGGGCCCGAGACGCGGAGACACGAACCAGAAAACATAACCTGACGGCACTTTTAATGTCTTATTTAGTGGAAAACAAAATCGGGCGAGTGACATGCCCCGGGAAGATAACTGGAGAAAATCGGGAGAGAAGCGGCCTGTCTCAGGGCGGAGAAAGACTGGGAGGAGGCGGGGTTTATGGCAGTCTTAATTGAAACAGCAAGTTCCCAGTTGTCACACAGAGGCGGTCCACGGATCGGGTCCATTAGGGCGATACAAGCGGTCTCACTGCACTTAACTCTGGGCAACCAAGCAGGTGCACTTTGAGAAAATATAATAATTAAATAATACAAGGAAAGATAAAAGAAATACTATAACTCTGATATAAGAAAGATCATTTCCTCATAAATACATTTTTGAATCAAACACAAATAAAGATAGACATCCACTTCCCTCATCTTTAAAACAATCTTTTCTTCAAGTGCATCAAGACATAATCATGAACCTGGATTTGGACAACCGACATGAACACGGTCGGTCGCCACCTCCGAGCCCTGTTAACTGGGCCTTAATCGGCGCGTTGCGTGCGACACTTGCGCGGCTCATTAATAAAAGTTTAAAGAGCGGCTCGGATCTGTCCAGAATCTGTATCGAAATCAGATCCAGAGACTGAGACTGAAACAGAGCCCCAGCCGAACCTATGGAGCTCCCCACATCTCGGTGTGCATAAATTAGACGACGGTGGTCTCCGGCATCCAAGCCCCGATGCGCTGCGATCTTTGCCGATCATTATGACCCTTTGTGCATTATGGCACTGGCTTTCCTCTCTTTCTCCTGGTTCTCTTATGGTATAGGGTTTTATACAGGGTATTTTTATGGGTATATGATGCTATATCTTATAAAGCAAGACTTCCATCATTAAACGAAAAGATTCTGGAACTTTGAATCAAAGTAGAGGGTATGTGCCTTTTATACCCAGAGTTCACCTTATTCTTGGGTTCTTTTCATCGAATCTTTCGTTCTTCGTGGCTTGTTAGGCTCCGAGGCTGCGAGTTCTCTTAATTTGGCCTGCAGTCTCTGGCTGGGCTTCTTTGATGTCTTCTTATTTTCGGGTTATCATTTTTTATTCGGTTATTAAGCGGAGACAGACCTGGACCACCTTCGACGCAGCCTCCGCAGACTCTGCAGTCCCCGCCCGAAGAACAGATGTGTGAAGCTCCTTGGGTCCGGGGGAGAGTCGTCCAGAGCCCCTCCGGGCATGGATGGCTGGGCATGGTGATAAAGAGGCGAGCATATGGTGTCACACGCTGGCGAGATAAGACCCGTCCAACGGGTTTCTGGCCTCCATGTCTGGCCAATTGTCTCGATAGCTCGGATTCGGGAAACTCTGACCTCGGGGAAACCCTCTAAACTTGCCGCCGCACAAATTTAACTCGCATTTTAACCTGCCTTTCAACGCAGATGAATAAAAGTATTAAATATCCATATTAAATATCCGCCCACCGGACAATCGACCCTATCAGGATAATACGTTTCCTACTACCG